TGAGCAAGAAGATTTGCACGAACAGTAGCAGACCAAGAGGGATAATTGGTGTCATCAAGCTTGACCGGAGTTAGGGATTGAAGATTTCGGACAAACAATTTGAGACCCGTAGGAAGATGATCCATAGGATCAGGTGATAAGACAGCCATGACTGGTCACGGCAGAAGCTGGTGCGAGGGAGAAGCAGATCGGCAACGCCGAATTTTTTCTCTTCGGTTAACGCAGCGACGGAGTAGGTCGAGACGGATCTCCGTGCTCCGATACCATGTTGATTTATGAATTCACTCTTAAGGAATAATTGTGTACATGGATGTTTATATAGGTGAGGATCCCTACATGGACTAGGATTCACCAAATAAGTAAACTAACATAAATAACAATTCTACTATAACTAGACTTCTTTCCATATATGTCTAACATTATTATTTATGGTTGGATAATTATATTATTATTAGGAAGTATAATTATATTAGATTATTAGTATTATGGTTTATTTAGTTACCTCGTATGGTTAGGATTTTTTAGATCGACCATCTATATATGTAGGCATTACTCATAATTTTATTATTCAATCAATAAGAAATCATTTTCCCTAAACTCTAGTCTCTTCCTCTTCTCTCTCGTTCTTCTATTCTGTCGAACAAAGTATCGTGCGATTTTCACTTCTCTTCCTTTTCCCTAATTTCGTAGCTCGAAAGTGCCCGAAATCCTTTCATATCTTTTTTGAATGCATATTTTAGTGTTATTAGTGAATTCAAAGTGATATTGCTAGCTAGCTCGCCGCATCCAAATCAAAGGTGCATTAGTACGTAGTGGGTAACTACACGCCAATAATCTCCCTTGGAGTAAATGAAAGTTACTTTCAAAATTACCGCAACCTTCCAAATTAAATAATGCATGCCATGAATAAAACCAAAAAAAAAAAAAATCTACTGCATGCAAGCAAATGATTTCTGAAGAATCAAATTTACTATTGGATTCTACTTTTACTCCGTATTTATCAGTACTATTTCTGAATTGTGCATATTAATTTTTTGTACACTTCCCCCCTCTGATGCTCGATCGATCTCCTGGATTCCTCTTGTTTTTTACTTCCTTTTCTTGTTTTCTCTTTTATTTTTTACCTCTTTTTAATTTGTTTGGCCTTTTCTATTTCACGTGAGGTTTTGTTTCTGTCTTTTAAACTTTCGACCCATTCTATATTCTTGTCGTATTAATTGTCATGTTACGGAGTATAATAATAATAATAATAATAATAATAATAATAATAATAATAATAATAATAATAATAATAAAATCATTTTATACTTACTAAAAAATCTAAACGAGTGACATAATTAAATAAATAAAATGTCAAAAATTGTGGCCATACGTACTTATATTCCATATAATTCCGTGCCTTGAGCTAAAACTGAAAAATTATCAACGTTAATTATTTACATTTCAAATTTAATTAATACTCCCCCATCCCTAGAAGTCCTTTTTTTTAATTTTGTGTCCCACTTTTATCCATATTAATTCTAACACTATATATCACATCATACCTCCTAACATAAAACACCATCCAAAAAAAGCGTACTCATATATACAATTTGTTAGTATACTGCAAATTAAACTCTTTGTTATTGTAGATATTACTGTTGGTCATGTGCGCATCAATTGTCGCGTAGCAGAGGCTATATATATAGGCCAAGTTACAATTGAACGTCATGGGTGCTTGTATGTGCTGAATGTACTATAAGGCTAGAATATGCGCTTCTTCTAACCCCAATTGATTTTAGAAGAGTTGGTAGCGTCTTAGGTCCTACGATTGGAAGTTGCAACTCTTATTTATGAATAAAAAAACTGAAGTCTTATGTAAATATTGAGTCCATATTTCACGTCTATTTAGGAACATTATTTGTATTGATTTTAACAATTTTTGTCCAATCCTAAACATGTAATTTAATTTTTTTTCAATATTCAAATTTTAACACAATCAATTTATTAAAGGTTTAAGAAACGGTCACATTGCAAATTTACCAACATGAAAAAGGAATATAATTAATCATATGTCCGTCCATTTCGTACACTCAACATATGTGTGCTAACAAAACCAATCAGTCAATGGTGGACGCCGGGATGGGAATAAAAATAACTCAATAATTTAATTAAAAAAAAACATAAAAAAACATAAAAACAAACAAATAAATAAATAAACAAAACATGTGGGGAGCTACTCACATTATTATTTTTAGCTCTCTCTTCCATTCCATAAATTTCAATCCCATTCTCGTGCAATATAATGTGACAATTTATGTCTCAATTTCTTCAATTCAATCCACTCCTAGATTTTTTCCATTTTATTTTTTTTTAAAACTCCATCCATTAATATAATCATCAATATAATCAACCGATGAATATACTAATTAATTAAGATGTAACGTTTATTTAATTATTTATGTTGTTGGTTTGGAGCCAAGTGGAGAAGGACTGAAGAGTGTTGGTATCAGCCCTATAGTGCTTCTGGGTGAACTCAAGAAATGTCTGCCATGTGAAATCTGGGTAGAGTCTAGGGTTCTCCGAGTCCACCAGTCCCTCCGGCGGCCGCACCACCTTCTCCTTCCTCGGGCACAAAAAGAATGCAAGTGACTTCCTCGCACTCTTGTTGTTCACCACCGCCCGGTGCAGACAACTCTTGTACCTCCCGTTCGTCAACGCCTGTCGTCGCGACATTCAAAATGTGCATATATATATTCAGACAATCGGTAACGAACGGGACATGTTAATAATTAATAGGGACAAAATGTATCGTCACACGTACCATGAAAGTGTCGCCGATGTTGATGACAAATGTGTTGGCAACGGGGGCCACGGTGCGCCACTCGTTGTCGACGAGGACTTGGAGCCCCCCCACCGTGTCCTGGTGGAGGATGGTGAGCGACGTCGGGTCGCAGTGGGGCCCGGTCCCGAGGGTTAGCTCGGGTTTCTGGCACCGCGGGTAGTAGTTCAGCCTCACTATCGACTCGTTGTCTTCGTAGAATCGCCTCAGCTCTTCCCTGTTCACTCCTAGGCTCATCCCCAATAGTTCCAATATCCCTAGTGAAAGGGTGTTCATTGCATTGCAATATTCTTGATATATCTCCCTGTCATATATATATATATATATATATATATATATATATTTATATATATATATATATATATATATATATATATATATATATATATATATATATATATATATANACTCTCTCTTTTAGCTTCTCCGCCGAGAAAAGCTCCCAAAACACCGTCCAACACTACTTCCGGTCAACGCTCGGTGATAATTTCGCCGACACCGGGTAAGTTTGTTTAACGATAATAAGTTGTAATAAATTCCCCTCTTATATATATATACTCATACAATTTGATAATAATTGTTATTCATATATATATATATATATATATATATATATTTATATATATATATATATATATATATATATATATATATATATATATATATATATGAATAACAATTATTATCAAATTGTATGAGTATATATATATAAGAGGGGAATTTATTACAACTTATTATCGTTAAACAAACTTACCCGGTGTCGGCGAAATTATCACCGAGCGTTGACCGGAAGTAGTGTTGGACGGTGTTTTGGGAGCTTTTCTCGGCGGAGAAGCTAAAAGAGAGAGTTTCCTTCCACGGCAACTTGGAGGAGAAGCGGCCGGTGAAGCTGCTGGCGTAGCCGCAATGCTCGCCGAGAAGCCGCTTAGCCTTCTGCTTCTCGGGGAGGGGGAGCTCGAAGAAGTGGTCCATGCAGCGGTGGGCGGCGGAGATGAGGCCGGGGTCGACGCCGTGGTTGGAGACGAGGAAGAAGCCGTGTTTCTTGCAGGACTCCCCGACGAGCCTGGCGGCCTCCAGGGCGGCGTCAGGGTCGCCGGAGAGGAAGCCGGAGAGGTCGACGAGGGGGACGGGGAGGTGCGGGGCCTCGGCGGCGGGCTTCTCGTTGTCCGGCCATATGAACTGAGTGGGGATGTTTTGTTGGTGTTGGAGGACGGCGGCGTTGAAAACCAAGGGCTTGGGGAGGATGTGGCATTCTTGGTTGACCATTTGGGGCGTGTTTGGTGGTATGTAAAATCTTTACAATTATATCTTTATTAACAAATTAATAGTAATGGGGGATATATGATGAGTAGTGAAGAAGAATGGTTTTGGAGAGGGTTTATATATACACACACCCCTACACAAATCAAGCTAGGTAAGGGGACAATGGTGTGAGTTGTCCACTAGGAACCAAACTAGTAAACATAAATTAGAGAGTGGTGTGAGTTGTGTCACCACTGGCACCCAAACAAAAATGTATAGGAAGACAAAGGTACGTAGAAGCAAGAGATGAAAGAAATAAAGACGACGAGGATGATGACTAATTAAACCACACCACACTCACTCACTCACCAACATGATTTGAGTTCATGGCATAGCTTGGGCCACCATGTGTTGGCTTAGTTTATTGTTCCACATTCGAACATTGGCTTAGTTTATAGCCACACCATGTAGGGTCCCCCCCCCCCCCCCTTTACTTCTATTTCATGTTTTCTTACTTGAATAAAGTTACCATTACACCAAGGGTTCTTCTCCAAATTGTACATCTCGAGTGTATATTGACACTTTGATGGTTCACTCACACAGCATAAAACGTAAGTGTAAAATTTTTGTAATCGTATTAGCCTTTTGGGTCATAGTAAATTAAACCATCAATGTATTGGTGCACCTATATGTGGTGTACAACCCTTGGTGCACACATAGCATGGTTGTTTCTAATTTGTTTTATTTTTTAAGTTTTGTGTCCCGTTTTCCATTTCAATGGCACTAATAATGCATGGGTCTAAGTATGAAGGCTAGCTTAATTAGGAGAATTCATCAGTAGACATCTGCTCCAATTAAGCCTCCAAAGCCTCAATAGATATGGGCTTAGCTTGATGGATTATACAAATCCGGGTTAAGCAGAGAGGTAGTTCTTGAAAGAGAATCTAGAGAGAGAAATGGAGTTTTAGTTTTAAAAAAATGAGTGCGGACCCCTCCCCCACATGTCAGAGGTGAGGTGATCAAGGTACAATCTTTCCGTTTCGGAGTATTTGTTTATTTTTATATTATTAAATAAATATAATATTAAATATTGATTAAACAATCATTTCATTAGATCGAAAAGACTTAGTTTGGCTATTCAAAAAAGTATAGCCAAACTAATGGTTCAAATGCCTGAATGGTTCAGCACTTAATGGTTCAGTAACAAACAAAGTCGGAGAATTACCAAGTCTACAGACTTACCAATTCTCTAAACGGAGACTTACCAATTCATAATATGTCTCAGACTTACCAATTCTGGAGAATAGACTTAACTAGTCTGTAAACGGAGACTTATCAATTCGTTATATGATCGAGAATTACCAAGTCTGGAGAATGACCAAGTCGTGAATTACCAAGTCCACTTACCTATTCAGAAGTTGCCAAACAGCCCCTTAGTTTGGCTATTCAAAAAAGTATAGCGGTGCAGCGTGCTGCACGTTTGCCTTGTATTTCGATGTATTAGTTTATTATGTTTGAATTTAAGTTTTTTACTTGACTAGATTCATTTCTTAAAACATTTTCAAAATATTATTTTATCTAATTAATATATATTATACATTTTATTTTATTATAGGTCAAATACCGAAAATGATTGACTGTAATGAATCAAGACTGAACAAATACTAAGAAAGGGAAGTGTTACGTAGGCGAGCAAAATTGGTGTGTGCGCTCTCGAGGACAAATAGTTCTATCAGGAAATTTACTTAAATATCACTAAAATATAATGACTTTCCATAAATAGCACCATATGTTGTTTTTTCATTGTAGCACTTTTAGTCATTATCCATTAGTCATTATTCAAGTAAATGTTTGTCATCATTGGACATTGTTCCTCCTTCTGGACATTATTAAGTACTATTTAGGGAATAAAATACTCCCTCTGTCCCAAAAAGATTTACACGTTTCAAAAAAATTGTGTCCCACAATCCCTTACTCATTTCTATTAAAAAACCACTTTTACCCCTTGCTTTTTCAAACCCTACCTATCACATCATACCTTTTTCCTAATAATCTACACATCACATCCTACTTTTACCCATCACATCAAGGGTATTTTTGGAAAGTCAACACAAAATTATCACTCCCTTAATTTCAACTTTAGTCAAAATGGGTAACACTTTATGGGACGGAGGGAGTAGTTTTTAGTGCTATTTAGAAAATGACTTAAGTTTTAATACTGTACTATTTAGTGCAAATATTTCGATCAAATAATGGGTTTGGGCCGGCCTATATCTACATTTCCAACGAAGAATAAAACGAAGAAACATACCCCCATTCGGGGTAGGTCAATGATGGCAAAGGAAGGAACGATTAAGACGTTGAGGATTCGGGTGGTGGGAGGATCCTTTTGATCAACGGTTTAGGGGCGATCGCACTCCACCATCACACTAACATCATTCACGCTATTATATTGTCATTAATTATACTGCCATTATATACAATGTCAAACTCATATTTAGGTGAGAGAACTCCGATCCCATACAAATAGCACTCTATTTTGACCTATGTAGAAGTAACACTCTTTTTGTGGCCTATATAGAAGTTCACATTGCTACGTCACACTGCCAACTACCACGACCCTCTACCACTATAGCTCCGCCTCGGCCACTATTGGTCAACGTAGGTGGTCTACCACCACATGTACACTATCAGCTGACAATCCACCACAGTTCACTGTTGTCCTGGTGTACTGCCATTACTTACACTACTATATTGTCATCATAATTTTATTATTTACATAAGCAAACTCCTATTTAGGAAACAAAAATAATGATACTCCTATTCCGATATTCTGATGACATGTTATTCCTATCTATGGAATTTTTTAAATTTATTTGTGCTATGTTTGTGTTCTCAGGGTCAATTCTGGACAGCGGAAGTGTGAGGGTTTAATCCAATGTGATAGCCAATTCTCGTGTGAACCGAATACAAGACGGCCTCTCTCAGAGGGCTATACTAATCTTTCGGGTCTTACTAAGATTAAATCGTAATTTACCTTCCACTAATATGTCCGGCCTGAGTGGGGGACGGTGTGGGTGTTCCACCTTTTTGTATTTAACCTAAAGAGAAGAGATAGAGACAAAGAATGCAAAGACTGCAGACATGTGGTGAGGTACGGTTGGAGAAGCAAGGTAACAAAAACTCAATTTATTTTTACACTCTAAAGAGACAGTAAAGAATGGAGGTAGGGAATGATGTTATGTATCAACGTAAGATTTTTTTGGAAGTAGACTTCCTTTGTCTTTTTCTACTTCATTTCACTTGCGGTGTTGGTTTTTTTTTGTATTAAATTATTTGTACATCAAAATTTGTGCGCACACCATATTGTATCCCAAAGGCATGCATCACATTTTGTGTTAGTATGATGCTAGTGTGCTGGTTTACTTTGACAAAAAATATCAGTACAAATTTTTAAAATTAAACTAATATTTTGTACCAATGTATACCATTAAAAATTAAAATGTCGATACATTTCTTTGGAGTTATTTTTTGGTGACCCTAGGCATGGTTAATTTTTTTTAACTAATTCGCATTCGGACAGTAAAACATTACAGAGGTTGCCGCGTTTCTTATGTTTTTGAATTGTCGTTTTTGTTTGGTAATTTCAATTCGTGGAGTACTAGTGTACTACTATACCCAGGCCAGTATTATTTATTTGAACTATGCTACTACTTTTTTTTTGAAGAACGAAGAATGCTACTATACGGAGTATTTAACTTTCAATATGACATTAAGAATATATTCTTTATAGTTTAAACTCTCAACTTTCAGTTTCTTTCATCAGTTTCTTCTAATTTCTTACATTTTTCTTCCAGTTCATTCCAGTTTGGTAGTTTCTTGCCACTATTCTCATTTTCTTCAAATTATTTCTACTTTCCAACTAATTACTCTAAAAATTATATATTTTTAATGTAATTATTTTTATTATTACTACTGTTATGTTCATAACTATAGTTTATAAAATATTTTTTCATCTCACTATTTTTAAAATTCATACTCATTATTTTTTATTCAGCTTTTTAGTATGAATAAGACAATTTATTATATACTAATCTACGTGATAAAACAGGAAAACATTAATATTTTAAACTATATTACAAAATTATGGATAAAATAGTTATATAGAATGTTTTATTAATCTAACTTTAAATAAGACCTCTCACTGTACCTTTCCCTTCATTACTCAAATTTTCTTATTTTTCTAATTTTTATAAAAAAAATAAAGTTAAAATAGTTTAGAGAAAAACACTAAAATAAGAGTAAAACATAAAAAATGTAAAATAAAAGTTTTATGTCTTTATTCCAAAAATAGGAGTTACAATGAAAATAAAATGTCAATGATGAAAGAAAAAATAGGTTTGATTACATTGCGTGACATGTCTGTTATTTAAAACAAGATCTTGTTATATATAAAGTATAATTACAAATATATTATTTATAATAAATACTGAATTTTAATATTCATGCTAACTTTATATTATAATTATTTTTTTGCAAACGAAGTTTTTTTGTGTATGAAAAATAACAATACTTTTTTTTATCGTAAAGACATTCATTAAAAGAAAGTGATGATGATGATGATTTATAACAACAAGAATTAGAATGAGAATAATAAAAAAACACACTAAATTTTTTTTAAAGTTTTTTTTAGGTTTTCCAATTTTTTGAAGTTTTTCTAGTTCCTTCCAGTTTTTCTAGTTTCTTCCTGTTCTTTCTAGTTTATTCCAATTCTTTAAATTCCTTCCAGTTTCTTCTAACATTTAGCTCTTTTTTCCAGTTCTAAAGAACATGTTCTAATATGTTAATTTAACTTTTACAAAAAAAAACTGTTGATTTTCGGACATGATTTTTTTCCCACGTACGTTCACAGATTTTGGATCAATAATTATATATGCAGTGACGTAAACTTTAACATGGTATCAGAGCGGGTCCCGATCCAGATTCGATTCTTCCTGGTTGTTGGACGTGAACTTAGCAAAAACAGCTACCCGTCCATGGTTTGGGTTGAGCTGGCTATATGAGAATGAGAAGTCATCGCCTGTTGTGTTGGCTAGCTATAAAAGACTGAGA